AAAATATATTTTATATTTAAAAAAAAAAAAAAAAAAATTGCATTTTTTTGTAATCATTACTTTTAATACTTTCTGCTGACACTAGGTGGGGCTGTGCCCCACCTGCCCCTAATGACCAGTCGCCACTGGACGTGCCATAGATACAGAACATGTTGCGAAACAGAATAGCCAGCATTTGTAGTTCTGGGGACAGGGTGGGGGAGGGGGGACGCGGTGGACCCGTTCAAATCCAGTTTTGGACAGTCTGCCGTGATTCCATCCCATTTCAAGTGCTGTTCGAGGCTCGGCGTAACCCTCGGAGCACACTCTCCAATCACAGAGCTTGAGGACTATCACGGGGTTTGTCAAACAGAGCACATGGTGTAGTCCAAACGATAGCTGGGGATTCTGGGTAGTGTAGTGTCTTCTGCCATCCTTTACTCCGAAAAAACATTTGTTTCTCCGAATCGAAGGGGAAAAATACTGAGTAGTGCAGATATCACTGTAAAATCAATCGACAGTAAGGGGAATACTTACTTCCGGGTGTACAATTCTCCGTTATCCAATGAGAATGGATGCTCACATTGCCTTTATGGGCAGTCGACACAAACGAACGCCGTGCTTCCATGAGCGTCCATAGAAGCATATGGACATCCCGGAAAGCTGAAAATGGACGCTAAGGGCCCCCCCATGCGTTGAAAATGGACGCTAAGGCCCCCCCCCCTTGCGTTGGAAAAAGCCGACAGGGGAATTGACATAACGTCAACATAGGCCGACCTGGGAGTGAGGATGTGTTGCCCATAGAGATTTGTCATCTGTAAAATTAGCTGAATCATGTCGGGAATGAAGAAAAGGTCAAGGATGCCACATCATAAATTCTTGATATGGCATATCTTGTGGGCCCTGGAATCATGCCGGTGGGTGCCTGAATGTAGCGCAGCGTCTTGGCATGAGATAGAGACCAGACTTGGATGGCTAGGATGAGCCGGATCCTCAGTGTCCTCCCCACTTTCAGACAAACATTCAGAAGCACTCAGTTGTGGAGGATTCCAGAGATAATTCAATGTCAGACTCGGAGCTTGTTTCTTCAGAAGAAGAGTCATCGCTTGCAGATGAAGGCTGCATGACCATTTCTACGGCCTCTTCTGCAGTGAAATGCCTCTTCATTTTAGCTCCTACTCTTGGCTCCAGGACGTTCGCCTTCTCTGCTCACTCATGAAATAACCCCTCAGCCAAACTGCATGTTAACATTTGGCTGTGAAAGCAGCCAGTTGCGTAAACAAACCAACAGTTGTTTTTTGTTTTTTTAATTACTCGAGCAACTCTTCAAAGACATTAAATGCATCTTTCAAAAGATCAAAAGATGACCTTTTTTTTACCCTGAAATGATCAGTGCATGTTGACAGATACACACACGATGCCCTTTTTCTGACCCTGAAATGATCAGTGCATGCTTACAGATACACACACACACAACATGTATACATCACTTCAGGGGACATTACATTGACTTACATGCATTTCCTGGAGACTTATCCTAATCTTAACCATAACCAACACATGCCTAACCCTAACCCTTAACCTAACCCTTACCCTAATCAAGTCTTCACCCTAAAATTAATGATTCCCCTCATGGGGACCTCCAATTTGTCCCCATAAGGGAAGCCAGTCCCCACACGTGACTATTGTTAGAGATTAAAAGGGATATCTGATCCGCTTTTCAAATCTCCGCGCGTTCCTATGAAGCTGGTTATAATACAGGAAGAAATCCAGTGCCACCAAGTAAACAATATCTACTTTAATGGTAATATGACAAAACAATACAATCAATACAGTACAAATTCAATACAGTTAATCTTTGGGATCCCGAATTTACCTGCACGTGAGCCAGCCAGAGGAAAGAGGCTGAACACCGCGTGTGTTTCTGTGTTTCTACTCTGTGACAATGGGAGGAGTTATCAGATCCTCCCATTCGGACATCATTGATTGGCCGCCCCAAATATCACAGACACCTTAGACTTCCCCAATCACTGTAGCTAGATCTAAATTGAATGCAACTCAAGAAATGCTCTCACCTTCCCCCATCTTCCTTTGTCCTCAAAAACATATGTCAAACAGGCCCCACATCCAGCTCACAGTTCCACCCAAATTATTCCCATTTTAAGCTTATCCATAGTTTGCTAACATGAATAAATACAAATATAACTCTACAAATCCCCCTTTTGGTCTCATTTTAAGAGATCAACTATTTCAAGACACTCACATTATAACCTGGGATTCAGACCATTTAAACATTCAGGAATGGCTCCACATATCAACTTCATATGACCGTGTAGAAATACCAAAATATATCCTCAGTGTTTAGACAAATCGTCCATCAATAGCACAAAAATAAACATACTAAAAAATATAGAAGAAAATAGTAAAATATATGTTTCCAAATAACCTCTTTTATCATTTATCATTTAGTCCTCCTTAATCATCAAATTACAAACTTTAAAAATAGCTTGCATCTCAAAGATTTGCTTCAAGACAATTATAGTAAAAACACATTTAACATTTAGGATTATTAGCAATCCACCTGAGGTATAAAATCTGGATTGTAAAAGTCCAGTTGAAATTCACAGTTCAAAGTATAACATTCACAGTGGTGATTCGATTAATCCGTAATCTGCAAAATTGCAGTGTCTTCAAGCTTTAACATTACTTCACTACGCTTTAGTCAAAAGTAAGGCACTTATCTATACATTCATTTTAGTCAAATACATTGTTTAAAAATCTGAAAAAGAAGAATCAGACATTTATTGCGTAGTGTAAAAACCCAAAAAGGTAAAATCTATATACATCTTCTACATTCTGAGTGTCAATTTTAATCAACTTGTCATTCATTTTGTGGGGGTCCCCATGGAGCAGAAGCCGTGATTGTGCCCCACGGATCTGAAAGCTGGGCGTCGTACATCAACACGGAGTCATCCACTGTGGAATATCCTACTAGTCTCTGTGGAGCCTGGAGGGCGGTTTTGGTCATCTTTCGTATGGCTAGTTTAACTACAGTGACCAAGCAGATTATCACAATTAGCACAACTAAGATAAACATTGAAACGGTTACTGCAAATTTAACCAACCCCGCACCCCACGATCCAAAAGTTCCAGTTAAATCCCCAAGGGTAAACCCATGAGTTTCATGCAACTCTTTTATCCCCCTGGCGGTATCATGAGCCATATCCATGACCTCAGGTGTAGCATCAGAGATGAAAGAACAACACTCAGATCCAATCACCTTGCATGTGCCCCCCTGGGCGGCTAATAAAAGATCCAGTGCCATACGATTTTGTAATGCTACAGTCCTAACCTCCTGTAATTCTTTATGTTCGGCTAACATGGCTGTGTTAGATGTGTGATTTTCCACTACTTTGGACAACGCCACAATTTCCTGCTGAGAAACATAAATACCGTACCATGGTAAAAATAGACTAGCCATCCGCTGTCCTTCTGTAATCGACCTGCTGTTTCTATGTAGAGAGGGAAGTATAGCTGCAATCTCATCAGTCTTCACTTTACGGATTAAAGGGATTAGATAGGCCAGGTAACAGGTGCCATAGAAAATGTCATAAGGCATACAGCCATAGGCTCGGTCCCCACAAACTAAGTAAACCCTCTGCGGGAGGGGCGTTCTGGCTAACTGCACCTTTATTACGGTATTACAGTCGCTGTGGCCCACATCTGGAGAGGTAAGAGATCCTCTTTCATTCTGGAAACAGATGGACACATTCTTCCACTCATGTACTACAACTGGGGGAACATAGACAGAACAGTCACGGGTAGGGGACTTACCTAAGGGTAATGGCTGCGAACAGTCATGTATTTTAACCTCAACTGAGTCCACTGTTCTGGAGCCGAACCAGGGCACTACTGTTACCAAAGCCTCAACTAATAAAGATGGAGTGTGTGGTTGCAGTGTACATATTGGACTGGTAAAGTTAACCGAGCAATTAGTCTGGGCTAGAGCTAATTGGAATCTGTATTCAAAAGCTAGGTTAATATATTTCTTCACATATATTAGTCTTAGGACCGTCAACTGTTTGAACCCCTCTGGCAGGTAATCTTTATTTACTGTCTCAACAATGAGCGAGATTAAACCCTTGTATTGTAGAGGTTTCTCAGAGTTTATTGGATACGAAGGAGTGTAACAATCCTCGGCCTCATCTCCAATGCGGGATGCTATGTCATTCCAGCTAACTAAACCGTAGTCAGCTTTCGTGAAAGGAATTGGGCTAAACATGGGAGAATGTACGGATTCTGGCATGTTTTGGCACAGCCAACAGTTGCTAACATTGCGTTCATGTGCATAGTCTAACATTAAACTCATTGCCGAATTGGTTTTAGTTAGTTTAGGTGGAGCGATTAAGGCCTTTTTTGAAGAATCTACATCCTCTCCTGTTTGTTTAGGTGGAGCGATTAAGGCCTTTTTTGAAGAATCTACATCCTCTCCTGTTTGTTTAGGTGGAGCGATTAAGGCCTTTTTTGAAGAATCTACATTCTCTCCTGTTTGTTTAGGTGGAGTGGATATTAGGGCTTTTTCCGGAAAACCTGTTTCATGATATGGTTCAATATATGTTCTAATAGAGGCGTGTCCGGCGACCCCTAAATTAGAAAAATCTGTTTCATGCTCTGGTTCAATAAATGCACATCCAGTGACCCCCGAATTGGGAGCTTTGTAATCTGGCTTCCGTGCCGTGCACTGGGACTCATATTTTAACTGTTCTGCCGTGCTACACCACAGTTCTGGGGGCATATTTGCAATGGTGTTGAGTGTTATTCTTACCATCCTTGACGAGACCCGGAACTCCTGATACTGCGTCCCTGGATACGCTTCCCACACCGTGTAGTCGCCACCCTTGCTTAAAAACACAGGGTACGTAATAACACAGTTTGGTGAGTTACATATTGCAGTTGGGCAGTCAAAAGAAACCTTCTGTGGTTCGTGAGCAGAGAGAGGGGCATTCCTCCTTCTTCTCTCTCTGTGTGTCTCTCTCTCATTGTACTGAATGTTAGTGTGGTGATTGGAAACAACCTGTCTTTGTCGCTAGGCACTGATTGGCCCGTTGGTGTGATTTTGCCCTCAGAGTCTGGGCCACCTGTCGTTGGAATGGTCACAGCTTCATCAAGCGGGGCTACCTTGGACAGGTACAGCAGGCCCAGCACGAGGAGGATGATGACAGCTTTCACACGCCAGCCTCCGGTGGAGGAGACAGACGCCATCTGGAAGCGTTGATCCACCCCGCTCTGCCTCGTTCCCTCAGGGCCGTTCCTCGACGTCCTCTTCAGCCCGCCCGCTTATGGCGACTTCTGGGTCGGTGATAGGAGTGTTGTCCTCTGGTTCCTCCTCCTCTGCGCGGACCACGTCCGTGATGATGTCGTCTAGGGTCCTTCCCGGAGGTTTCCCCACTGCGCACTGATTCCAGTGGTACCAGATGTCTCCTTTCCCTTCCAAGCGGACAGCGTGAGATGTCCTCTGCATCACCCGATGGGGTCCAGAGAACCTGGGTCTCAGCCACTTGGGTCTGATCGCTTTCAGCCAGACGAACTCCGCAGTGTTCGCTTCGTGTTTCTCGGGTCCCCCTTTTGCCTCTGCAACCTGGGTGGAAAAATCTGCCACTAATCCCTTAAGTTGCTGGAAGTATGGTTTCGAACTCAGAACCTCTACTTCCTTTCCTACACTTAGGGCTCCTGGACCTGGGAACTGGTGACCATAAGTGAGCTCAAATGGAGAGAAACCTGTCCCTTTGTTAATGGAGCTCCTGATTGACATAAGAGCCAGAGGCAATGCGTATACCCATTTCATGCCCGTCTCTTCACATGCTTTGCTGAGTTTTTGTTTTAAGTTCTGGTTCATCCTTTCCACTTTTCCCTGAGACTGTGGATGATAAACTGCTCCAAAACTGTGTCTTAGTCCTAGGGACTCTTCTACTGTGCGTAGGTCATGGTTCTTGAAATGGCTGCCATTGTCTGACCTCACTTTCCTAGGAAATCCATGTAATGGAATGTAATGCGTGACTAGGAATTTGATCACTGAGTCTGCATCTTCTCTTCTGCAAGGGATAGCTTCTGGCCAACCTGTGTATCCATCTACTACTACTAACAAATATCTGAATCCTCTTACTTTGTCAATCATGTCAGTGTAGTCAATGATGATTTCTTCTCCTGCCATCTTAGGTAAAGGAAACTTTCCCTGGTGTGGTTTCACAGTGGCTCTGATGTTATGGGTTAAGCAAATTACACACTCTTCTAGGTGATTTGCTATCATGTCTGGTAGGTATGGGTGCCACCAGTGGGTCAGGTGCCTGTTCATCTGAGTTTTACCACAATGCGTTGGGCCGTGTGCTTCTTTAAGCATGGATCTTATCCACTCTGGGGGTATAACCGGTCTCCCATCTGGGGAGTACCATATCCCCTCTTTGTTGGTAGCTCCCCGGTTTGACCATAGTTTTTTGTCTTGAGGAGACCCCGCTTCTTGAGCTTCTTTAAGCGTCTCATCTGTTATTGCGGGCAGCAAGTCAGCGGATTTTAAGACAAGCATTTGATACCATGGTGTATATCCTGCCTTCTCTTTAGCTGCTTTGTCCGCTGCATTGTTACCCCAAGCCAAGTAGTTGTTTTCTGCGTTGTGACCTTTACACTTAAGTAAAGCTAACTTGTTGGGCAACATTACTGCTTCTGCAAGCCTTTTGATCTCTTTCTCATGTTTGATGGGGGTATTTGTGGACGTTACAAATCCTGCTCTCAACCATTGTCGCATTTCCACGTGAATTACGCCGTGGACATATGCTGAATCAGTGTAGATGTTTACATCCTTTCCTTTTGATAGCTCTAATGCTGCAATGACTCCCATTACTTCTGCCAACTGTGCTGATACTTTCCCTGTTACTTCCCCAGCTGATACTTCCTCAAAGTTTCCCTCAGGTTTTTGTTTTACCACGGCATAGGCTGCTTGGAGGCCGTTTTGGGGGTGTCTAAAATAACAGCCGTCTGTGAACAGGTTTTCTGCCTGTGGGATGGGCTCGTCTCTGAGATCTATTCTTAGCTTCACATCTTGAATGATTCTTTCCTCACACCTATGGGGCTCTCCGCTACCTATGGTGTCTGCGCTGTTAACTCCTTCGTGTGTGTATGTGATGTGTGCCTTTGTCAGAGTTTTCTCCAGCCTTGTTTGTCTCGTTGAAGTCATTGTGAATGCACTTGAGTTCACAAAAGAGACAATGCTGTGTGTTGTCAGTACTGTCAAAGGATGGCCCATCACAATGTGTGAAATCTTGTTTAAGATACGTGCTGTACCTGCCGCGTGTCTCATGCAGGGAGGTTCTCTGTTTTCCACTCTGTCCAGTGTAACACTGACATACATCAATATTGTCCTACAACCCCCCTTTTTCTGAAAAAGAATCCCATTTACTGTGTCTTAATTTTCAGAAACATCAAGAAAGAATGGTAATGCATAGGATGCAGCGGCGAGAGCCGTGACTTGGGACATGGATTGTTTGAGAGAAATTAACGCAGCTTCTGCCGCTTGTGTCCAGTCTAGTGTGGCAGTGAGATTGCGCATGCCTTTCTCGTTGATGAGTTTTCTGAGTTCAGCTGTTCTTGGGTTATACTCTGGGATGTAGTGTCTGCTGTAGCCTGTGAGGCCCAAAAAAGACAACATGTCTTTGACTGTCTTGGGTTTCGGGTGGTTCAAAATGTGTTCCTGATGCGCTGCTGACATGCCCGTGCCTGCTGGGGAAATCACTCTGCCCAAAAATGTCACCTCTTTACGGGTGCATTGTAGCTTTTTCTTGGAGACTTTGAACCCTGATGTGTGGAGGCGCACCAGTAGGTGTCTGGTGGCCTCCAAACAAGAGGCTGCAGAAGGTGCTGCGATGAGAAGGTTGTCTACATACTGTATTAATACTACCCCCACTGGCAATGTAACGCCCTCTAGCTGTTCCCTGAGCACTTTGTTGAATATTCCTGGAGACAAACTGAAGCCTTGTGGTAGTCTTGTGTATTGTAGTTTCTCCCCTCCTATTGTAAAAGAAAAAATAGGTCTCATACTCTCTGCCAGAGGTATGCAGAAGAAAGCGTTGGCTAGGTCAATACAGGTGAACCATGTATGTTCAGGTGAGACATTACAGATAGCCGTGTAGGGGTTAGGAACTGGTATCAGAGCTGTAGTCGTAATAGCATTAATGGTTCTCAAATCATGAGCCATTCTGTATTCCCCGCTAGATTTTGATACAGGAAGTATGGGAGTATTCCAAAGGCTTTGTGAGGGTTCTAACACCCCTGCTCTCTTCAGTCCCTCAACTGCCTTGTCAACACCCCCTTTTGCCTGTGGCTTGATCGGGTATTGTGACCGGTTCACAGGCACAGAGCTGCTCACCTCAAATGTTACTGGTGTGGCTTTCAAGCAGAAACCTACATCATGAGAGTGCGACGCCCACAGGTCAGACGGGAGATCACGCAACATGTCAACTGTATATGCATGGTCAGTTTTTTCCCTACCATGATGTCTATCTACTTCGTGTCTTTCCATGTGGATGCATTCTTGTGTGTAGATTTTAAGACGATACGCTCTGTGTGAGGGAGAGTATGTCAGTGCTGCGATCTGCGTAGGTTCCCAATCTTCGACTTCTAGCAGCGTCTTTACCATGGGACCAAGTTCTTTAGCTTCATAACCCTTTCTGATAGCTAATGTAATGTGTGGTGTGGACTCAGCAGACAAACGGTACCAGTACAGTTGTTCATCAGAGAGCTCAACCGACGCAGCCACACCCGCCTGTCCCACAAAGAGATTTGTCGTGGTAATGTCCCACACGGCCATAGACACCTCATTATCATACTCATATTCATAACTTAGGTCGTCTCTTCTATCATAATTCAGCGTCAGGTGGGGGGGGTCTGGAGGGGGGCCATAAGGCCTGAGGAGGTTAATCCATGGCTTCCATTGTTGAAAAATGGAATACAGTCCAGGTGTGTTGTCCCGAGGTCGGTCCAACAGTCCCCAGAATATAGTGGCATGTTGGGTTGCTTCTGCCTCAGTGGACTGGGCCAACATCATCTGAGAACCTGATTTTATGGTAGATAACGAACAATTGATGGTTGTGCCATTTGGGAATGATATTATCAGTCCATCCGGGGAACAGAGGATGGAGGCATTCGCTTTGATCAGAATATCCCTACCCATGAGGTTAGCCGGGCTTTTTGGTGCAAGAATATACTGGTGTAAGAATGTCTGTCCTGCTATCTTGGTGGATAACAGCGTGGAAAGCGGTATTTTCTCTATTTTTCCCGAAAACCCTATGACTGAGACTGTTGTAGATGTTTTGGACGCCTTGAAGACGGGAGAATTGATGGTGGAATATCTTGCTCCTGAATCAACAAGGAATGGTAGGTTTGAGTCTTTAACAGTCATATTAATGTATGGATCCGCCAGGCCCGTACATCCAGGGTTCCCTGGGCGTCTTCATTCTTCGTAGTATTCCCCCTCATACAGGACAAACTGGCCATAGGGGGCGGCCATAGCATTAGGGCCAATGTGACCCTGGTTCGGTTGTTGCGGCAATGGGACAGCCTCCTGGGGTGTCTGGATATATGGTCTCTCCGATCCGTTCCCCCCTTTAGCCCGCCCCCTTCCAGGTGGGGCTCCATGTGGGCACTGCTTGAACCAGTGATCTGGCTGTCCGCAAATGAAACCCACCTTCACGTATTCCAATCTAGGAGTCATCCCAAAGCCACCTCGACCTCTGACCCCTCCTCTGAACCTGCCCCTCTGTTGCCAAGAGCTATTATTGTAGCCAAATTGGGGCTGACTATAGGGCGGACCCTGGTTGGAAAGGCCCCCTTTTGGGTTTTGCTGCCCCTGTGGCTGCGCGGCCGGCGCTACTGGGTGAACAATCAACTGTTTGGCATTCTTTTTGTCATTCTGAACTGTTTTCCGGGCTATTTCCAGCTGCGTTCGCAGTAACTGCACCCTCAACTCCTCTTCCTCAGTTTTAACCTCTGTATGTTGTTTGTTGAATTTACTCAAATGATGGGCTAAATGACGTTCCCACGTCTGTGTGTTTAACTGATCTACCTCTGGATTGTCCTCCATCAGACTTTTAATTTCTTTCGGTACTGCTGCAAGCACTGCTTTACGGAACATCTGTATATGTTGGTCATTATTATCTGGACTGTAGTCAGTTGCCATTGTGTATTGTTGGCGTGCCCTGAGCAACATGGTTGCTGCAGCCTCTCCAGGTGTAAATGTAAATGACAGTGATCCGTAACCTCCCCCTGTCTGTGGGAAATGCTCTCTCATTGCTTTGCCCAGCTTGCTGTGAACATCGTTAAAGGAAATAGGCACGTCATCTTTCATTGTCGATGTTCCTGATCTATCCTCAACTCTTTCTACCTCATAATAGGAAGTCTGTTGTGCTAGTATTCTCCTGAAATCTCCCAGACAGATAGTCTGTCCTACAGCCATGTCCGCAAACCTTCGCATCCAATGTCTCCTTCCCTCAGTAGGCAACGGCATTTTATCGATCAGCGCATGTATGTCCCCTAGTGTGAAAGGATGATAAGCCATCTTCCCGTTTTGCGCGGCCACTAAAGGCGCCTGTAATACTGGAGAAATAAAAGCATGCTTGGTGGGGTCTTCTGCGGTGTGGTGAGACCTTAATCTGTTACGGGGCATTGAAAGAACCTGATCTACTTCCACTAGTTCACCTATTGTTCCCGTCAGAGATATCTGCTTAACTTTGCACCTCGCCCTCCTGCTGTCTTCCTCTTCCTGAGAGCTGTCTTTACGACCCTGGCCTCCTGCTCCATTGTAAAACCCCCCAGTTTCATGGCTTGCTGTTTCCCTATCCCTTTTATGGCCCGCTATCTCTCCCTCACTCTTATGGCCCACTGTCTTTCTATCACTTCTGTGGTTCGCCGTCTCTTCCCCACTTTCATGGCCCGATGCCCCCCCCCTCAACACCTGGGTAATTAGACGTATACGTTTGGCGTGATCTGTTCTGAAAAGGATCACATCTCTCCCCCTTCTCTATATCTTCTAGCGAGCCCTCATATCCGCTCTGTTCCTGTCTCCCTCCTTGCGTCTATCTTGAATCTGTTGTTCATAGCACCGCCTTTCTCGGATTTCCCTCTCATCCAGGAGGTCAGTTGTGTATGTTATGTCTGTCTGTAGCGCCTGAGTGGCTCTTTGTAAGATTTGTCAGAAGGGAAGTCAATTTTTCTGAGGTGAGCTCCTTATCAAGTGGTCGACTGTCCCTGCTCGGGGAAACCCCCGCCTGGTCTGTGTTAAAACTAGGCCTCCGCGTGGTGTGTGCGCTGTCTAGTCTGTCTAACGGGGAGGAAACCTGTTTTTGTTTAACATTTAGTCTTTTCTTTGGAGTAGGGACGCCCCTTAACGGACTCAACGCTACTGTTCCCACCATCCTATAGTTCCCTACGCTCATGGCCGCCTCCTCTCCTTCTGTGTCCGATGTATCTGCCACAATCATTTGCAATTTATTTGCGCTGTCGTCGGGTAGAGTATAAGGGGGAGGGGGCTGTGTAGTCAGACTACCTAAATCCGGGTAAAGGAGAGAGGAGCGGGTGGGAATAGCCGGATTTTGTATGGGCGTAGTTAGAGATTTCTGCTCTGAGTTAGAGACAACATTATTTTGCATTCTTTTAAAATATTCGACTCGTTCTGCTACATAGTCAAGAATGTCTCCCTGTGTAGGCACCTCCGTGTCTTTAATACCATGAGGGAACAGAAGAGTGTTAACTTCATCTGTTTTTATGGGGCTTTGGATTGCCATTGCACCCGGGAGATTTTGGTCTGTGACGGGAGGAATATTAATTCCAATCATTACGAGGGCAGCATTGTGACAAACCCTCCTCAATCTATCTAGTGCCTGTTGTTGTTTGTTCCATTTGCTACGGGCAAACCATCTGGGCTTCTGTTCGTTTAGGTGTGCAAGTTGCTTTACAATCTGTCTTTCATATAAATTCAATGCTGTTCCCAAATTACCTACGGTGTCGTCATCCCCCACTCTATTCTCTGTTATCATTGTATCGTGTAGGAATCGGAGATCCGTACAAGCCTTTTCTTTAGCCCCCTGTTTGATTCCACTTAAAATTAATCTCTTAATCTGTTCCCATTGCTCCCGGTAACTCCCTGGAATTTCAGAATAGTCCTTACCATTCTGTCGTTCCATATTCACTTCGCTTTTATTTATCTGACTTAATTAATATGTGTTCACTTGTATTCATATACTGGGCTATTGTCGTTGTTATTATTAACGTGCTTCCCGTCTTCAATACCGGCCAGCAATGTAATGATGAAACTCTAAGTTTGAAGCTAAAATATATACAAATGTCAAGGGTGTGTTACCCCCTTTCAGCCACTAGATGGCAGCAGCAGACCACAAATGAGCTTCACTCTTCTGAGTGCCTCTTTTATCCCC